CGTTTACTGTGACTTACCTCAAATACGGAAACCGGCGACGGAAAACAGCATAGATTACTATGAAAAGCAGCATCATAGGCTCAAAGGTGCGAGACGTGAAGTTCAGTACTTCACCAATTCACCTTACAAGCTTTGAAATTACTTTTTAATCAATGCACAATATAGGTATTATTCATTTTCTTTTATTGCATTACTAGTTTGTCCCGGCGCGTTTCTGCCTCGGAAGAAATAATTGTGGAATGTCATTTCAAATTTGGAAGTGTTTATAATGTTTAATTAAGAATGTTAATACATTCATTGAAATTGAATGTTATATAACTTTCAAATAAATTTGTCAGAATGACATGCGCGGTCACCTACTGTAAGTAAATTGTACTATGCTTTTAACCCTCGCGCAAGTGCAACCATTACGTTGATAAAGTTTTAGCGCAATCTGATGAACGGTATACCAGCGCATAAAACACGAACAAACAAACATAAATTAGATAGAACGTAAGTATTCCAACATACATGGATACATCAGAACCGTTACTAAAATAAGTTGTTCATTGCATGCTATACATCAATTGGGAACGTTTTTACCATTTCGCTATTGTTTATATTATGTATATTCCCATACAGTTTGTACCAGGTTGTGTCAGGCCAAATCAAAATCAATACTCACCCTTCTAAAACCAAATTGTTATATTCAAATAAAAGACCTCGTGAAATTTAATGATTATTTAATTTAATTACAAATCAAACCTTATACATTTGCACTGATAGTCAATTAGTAGAAAAATTAAACTTTAAAAAAGTATAATATAATAATAAGGCTATAATAAAATAATAATTCTTTCATAAATAATGGTTTTAGCATCAACTTCAGAAACTATTTATTTATGAGAGAATTATTTGATGTTTTGTAGTTTTCAACCGACTTCAAAAAAAGGAGGAGATTCACAATTAGACTGTAATTTTTTATGTGTGTTATCTCAGAACTTTTTTCTAGGTGAACCGATTTTGATTATTCATTTTTTTAAAGCTGGTACTTCTCATGTGGTCCCTTATAAATTTGGTCAAGATCTGACCAATAGTTTTCGAGTTATCCTTAATAATGCGTATTTAATTGACTTCAATTACAATGATCATGTTCTCATTTTATTTATATTAAAGTCGGTTGTACAAAACTTTTAATTTTACCACTTGTTTGAAGAAATCGGTACACAATTGACAAAGATATTGCTTAAAATACAAAATAATAGTTGAAATGAGAATCTACTATTTTTAGTTGGTTAAAAATTGTATTCAATGACATGGTGCGCAAATCTACTTCATACACACACTTGTGGAAAAGTAAGCAATTATAAAATAAATAATTATTAATAATGTGCATTGGTGTTTTATCAGTTATGCTAGTTTATTATTAGATTCCTCTTATACAATATATTTTATAAAGCATTTTCCAAGTAGGTAATATAACATGTGTTATATGTATTACAGCAGATAACCTATCATGGAAATCAATTTCGAAAAGTTAAAAAACAACTTATTTAATATAAATAATTTCTACAGATTGTGCAACCATTGCAATGAGTTAGGTGTCTGTTTTTTTTTTCAACTCTAGCAAAATATTGTTACACTGGGAAATTTGTAGTGTGGACCTTCTGGGTTATACCTACCCATATTTTTTATTTTACCTTGTCACTAGGTCATATGCTGTACAGGCTAGAATGGAGTTTGAATTGATGTGGTGGTATAAAATTTATGGCGAGTGCTTAACCCTTTACCTGCAATTTACGGTTTTATTTAAATAAATTTGAAATATTTTTATCTATACCATAACAAAAATGTAAATAAAAAGAAATTATTGATAAAATTAATTTCTGCCTTTCTAGACTCACATAAATCAAAGGGATGGAAGAGAGCCCAAGAAATAAACTATATTCTTGATACAATCAAATTTCTTGTTTCTCTACAGTATTTTTACTAAAATTATTGAGAATTAAATATTAATACCAGTCCCTAAAATTCCTTTCTCAGTCAATTCCATAAAACTTGCAGATTTCAGTTCAGTCTGGTCTCAGTCCTCAATCAATTTTATAAAAATAACCTTTTACACTTGGGCTGATACGAGCGTGAGTTTAATTTAAAAAAATATATAGGCGCCAAAAGGGTTAACTTTTTCCAAACATAACCGGCGTCGATCGTTCGTGAGATGTATTTTACGCGCGGAAAATGCACACGGGCGGGGTGGGAGCAGTCAGTCACCTGTGAGTTGAGATGAAAGATTTTTGCGTTTTTCGATCCTCGCCGCGCCGCGCCGCGTGTAAGTAATTGTTTTTAATATTATTTGGAAAGTATTTGATGGAGATTTATAATTATTTTAAAGTTAAAAGAGCTCAATACCTACATTATTTTAATTTTGAGCTGATCTTTACGGTTTAGTTTGAATTACGTTGTAAAGTTCGACCGCTACGAGCGTGCGACTCCGGTTGTACTACCGAAATGTTATTCGGGAGTGATGGGTACTGTACTTGACGATTGTTTTTAGACAGATTTTATAACTAATGCAAGTCGAGGCATGTAAGTCTAGCGCTAAACGAAACGTAGAGGGGACACGCACAAATTGAAATGCGCGAATGCGACTGAAGAACCAATCAGCGCGTGCGAACGATACGCACGAGTCAATCAGCGCGACTTATGCGCAATAACGGTCACCGCTCGACTTTCGTGCCGCTACTTATAGTTACAGTGTACTTTTTTTACTTTTTAGTCAGAAGTTTGGAAGAAGATCAAGTTATACAAGTGCTGGGCTAGAAACTTCTCCGACATCGAAAATTTTGAGAACGACGACGACGAAATCCAACCCAGCACTTTCGAAGATCTTCAGTTGGATGATCCAGAGCCTGAACCACAGCCGTCTGCAGCACCGGAGCCGGAACCAATGCAAGATACTCCTGGACCATCACACCACCTCTATGCCCTTGATCTTCGCGGCCACCTCCTCGAAAGGGAGTTTGGAATCAGATACCTTTCGCCGACTGTAGTCATGACTATGCTCCATTGCCCATGACTCCTATCAGGACTCCAATGGAGTATTTTTCAGACAATTTCAACAGAGAGTTTTTTGACGAATCGTTAGATGCACAAACTTGTACCATCACAGAACAACGGGCCTGAAACTGAAACTTACGTCGGTTAAAGTAGCCAGTTTTTGCAATACACATCATCATTAGATTTATTCCCTACCATGTATTGAAGAGGTGGAATAAAACTGGAGATAATAACTCAACAAATGGCTCGTGACAAGTTCTTTACTGTCCGCAATGCATTGCACGTCGTAGATGCTAGTGATGCCCGATGAGTTATGGTAACGATTCTCTGTGGAAAGTGCAGCCGATGATTGACCAGTTAGAAGTAGTGTGTAACAAACTTGAAAGAGTTTCTGACTTCTACTACATTGACGAGCAAATGATACCATTTATTGGCAGATGTATTCTTCGCCAGTCCGAAATAAACCGCGCCCCGTGGGTCTAGAACTTTGTACTGACCACAAATGAAGGCTTGATGCTAGACTTTAAAATATATCGTGGAGCTAAACCATGTTTGGAGATACATCTCTTGGACTTGGAGCTTCTGTGGTTCTGCATCTGGTGAAAAATGTCCCGCCTGGAAGCTGTGTATACCACGACAGATATTTTACCACTGTTCCATTAATTGAAGTGATGACAAAGAGGAATCTTCACAGCACAGGAACAATCATGTTCAAAAGGATCCCTGACCGTGCAGCGAGTTAAATTAAACCAGATGCTAGGATGGCTTGCAGAGGATCACAGCAGTACATTTGCAAACCTACTGTCAATGTCAAATGAAAAGACAATAAGTCCGTTTTAATGGCGTCAAACTGCACCGGCTCATCCTCATCTTCAATTGTGAAGAGGTGGGAAAGACGTATGAAGATGTATGTAGATGTAACTGCCCCAAAAATAGTCGAGCATTACAATCTACACATGGGGGAACTGGCCATTGACGCGCAATATTGAAATGAACCACTGCTGGATGAAAATGAATCTTCTCTACTGAAAAGACAGACCAGCAAACAAGCCATCTGAAGCAAAGGGGTATGATGGATACGAACATTTCCAGTGTTCGACAAAATAAAAGCACCTAGAATGTGCTGGTACGAAAATTGTACCAGTCAACAGTCAGAAACTGCAACACGTATTTGTCGATCACATGTGGCAAAAACTGTTTTAAGTCTTACCATACCAAAGGATGATCTAATAGTTCCTGATTTGCTTGAGAAGCATTAATTAAGATTATTTTTATCATAGTGTAAAATTTTTGAAGATTGTTTTATTTTGTATAAATAAATAACTAATAAAGAGGCTGATTATGTAAAAACATTTTTAATTTCTCTTCCAACTACCAAATTATAAGGCTAGTTTAAATTACCCTAACGATTGTGACTATGTCGTGTACGACCTGCGACTCATAATTATGCAGATGGATTTTGTGGGTAAACTCGAGATTTTTTTAAGCTGCATTTTTTGGGCTCTATAGACCTAGTAGAAAGCCAACATTAAGGTTTTATGATTAGGACCCAAAAAAACTCAGGTTGTAAAGGGATAATCTACTGCAATTACTTAGTTGTTTGTGAGTCACAGAAAACAATGCAAGTTCACAAATGCTAAGGATAGTGAAGAAAATGGAATATGAAATCATTGTTATGACAATTGATACAAAATTATCCCACTTCAATTATACAACTGTAGTATTTTTTTATAATGAAATCATACTACTTCATTTTACTTTGTATATTATAATTATTTGAACTGTGTTTGTTTACTTTACTTAGCTGTTCTACAAGCTTTATGATCTAATATGAAGGCTTATTATGTTACATTTTACAAAACTGGTATGATCTGAATCTATTACATCCATTAATCAAAAATGCAGGCACAAAGTATCTTTGGATGATATTTAATTCAACTATGTTTACAATATAAAAAATTCTACTATTTCTCATTTTCAACACCTGCTTGTGTCATAAGATCTGTGATATTTTTTTCCAACTCATCCACACGAGTACCCATTTCGTCTATTCTATTAATTATTTGATCAGACATGCTTTGAAATTTATCTTGCATTGTTTGTAGCAGAGATTGAACCTGTAATATTAAATACTAGTTATAATTTTATAAGAATTTTAATATTATAATATTAAAACACAGACAGAAAGTAGACATATGAGATTATGCATGGTAGAGCCATGCTGCAGCTATATTAATAGTATAGTTGTAGCACGAATGGGTCGGCTCAACTGGGGAAGGACCACGCTCTCACAGAATACCAGCGCAAAATAGCAGCTTAATGCTTCTGTGTTTTGTATGGTGAGTGTGGAGAACCGGAGACCCTTTTAACTGGAAAAGAGGCATTCTATATTAGTTCTCACGGCTGCCAACGCATCTGCATTTTGAGTCGTAAACAAAGATAGATGCAGATGTCTATGGGCCATAGCACCCACTTACCATCAGGTGGACTGTGTGCTTGTTTATCACCCTAATTCTATAAAAAAAAGACAAATAAGTATTCTATAGATTGCAAGCTCTAAATTATTCGGACAAGTGAAGGCAAGCAAGTGTTAGGTACGTACCTGCATCTGCAACTTAACTGTTAAGGATAGTGGCAACAAATCCTATTTTAAGAGAATCATATACTGTTGAGCATATGATTCTCTAAAAACAAGATGTAAATTACTTACTGACAATGTTAATGAAGAAATATGAAAACCATTATAACAAATTTACAATAGAAATATAACATCATTCAGCTTACCCTGACCCTAACACGCATAATTAGTTTCTCCACTCTGTTACTGTCAATCTATTGGTAGAAGAATAATTAATACCTCCAAAATTATATTTTCAATTACCTTTAATACTATCAAAATAAATCGTTACCATCGTCAAGATAGAAGATTCCCTTAGTATAGCTATTCGGTAATTATTCTTAAAATTACTAAAAAAATACTTACATACTGTGTAACCTCTTGCATGTTTTTGGGATCGTTTGCCGGAGCTGTGTAATTACTCTCAACATCCGAAGGAGTCGGTTCAGGATTATTTTCTGCCATTATTCTTTATATTTGAACGTATGCAAAACAAACAGTAATATTCTCTCTATTAAATGATTATAATTTCACTACCAGTTTAATGGCACGAATTTATGACAACAAATTATATAAATTTACCATACAGTCCAGGGAAACTATTTAACAAAGAGTTTATGAGTATACACCAAAAACAATATGGTTTCTCTAGCTAGTAGCTACAATATTTCCTTCTTGAAGTCTACGATCTACTTTGACAGTTGACACACTCCGAAATGAAGATATAGATAAATAACTTTAACTTCATGACTCCGAATCAAAGACTAGGGATGTGAAAAAATAATCGATTTTCATATTAATCGATTTTTTTCTTATAATCGATTTTTCAAAGTCGATTTTTTTATAATAAAAATCGATATTTGTAATCAGAGTCATCTGTGCGATGGATGTAAAAACGTGAAGTAAGTTCAATAACATGAATAAGTCAATCAAAAGACGGCGCCACCTTTATGTATCTCTATGTATGTAAAACAGTTTCGCTTTTCGTATGTTTTCAACAGATTTCTTCCTCCGCTAGGAGTAAAAGTATTCTGTGGTTTTCTTTCTTTCTTTGGTTAGTGTAAACAATAAAAATGTCTTGTGAAACGCGTAAAAGTGGCTGACAGACAAGTATTTTATAATGAAAAAATGATAGCGGCCAACACGTCAATAGGCAAAAATACTGAATTGGATCTATATATTGCGGCACCACTATCAAATCTCAAGGCAGATGCCCTCAATATATGGAGAAGTGCTGAAGGAACTTTCCCTAAACTAACCGAATTGGCTTTTAAACACCTCTCGCTGGTGGCCAGTTCCGCGTCAGCCGAAAGATTATTTTTGAAAGCGGGAAATATTGTCAGGAAAAAACGAAATCGTATTTTGGGAAAGAGACGAAGAAGAATTTTGGTGAAATGATTGTTTTTAAAGTCTTTAACTGAAAATTCATGGCAATATTTTTTTTACGTTTTTTGTTTACACAGGTTTCAAAAAAGATTTGTCTTGTATTTTAGTTTTGAGATCAAAAGGTTGTCGTCAGATTATTCATAATTATATTTTTATTTTATTATCATTCTAATCCAATGTAAATGATACTGAACATTAGTGGCATAATGATATTTAGACTCTTTGTTTGTTCAAATTTAGTTTAAAAAAAAACTATCGTTTACTAAAATTATGGTTTCTTAATGATTTCTTATATTTACGCGAAGACTACACATTAAATGAAATTAATTTTTACGGATTTGATCACGCTTAATTTAACTTTTTAATTCCTGACGTTTCGGGTGCTTCACAGCACCCATGGTCACGGGGGGAACAGGTCTTTGACGGTCAGATGTCATAGTTAGCCTGGCTAAATTCAGTTTTTGAATATTAATTTTTGGTCCGATCTACGCAGAATGAGTTTACAGTATCTTGAAGTCTTACAGTGGTATGCTTGGGTTTGGATTTAATTTTATTAATTATAGAATGCCAAGCAAATGGCAGCACCCATCCATGTTCTCTATTGAAGTTAGGATGTTTTTTAATTTCGATAGCCTTGCGAATCATCCTTGGTAGGAATCGGTGTTCTTTTGCGAGGATTTGTAGTTCGACTATGACATAGGGACGTCAAACACCTCAGTCCCCTCTGTGACCATGCGTGCTGTAAAGCACCTGAAATGTCGGGAATTAAAAAGTTAAATTAAACGCGATAAAATCCGTAAAACTTAGTTTAATTTATCGTTCCTGTTTATTTTGGTTGTAATAAATTGTTAAATCAAACTGAACATTTGTGGCAGTAATTATTTTTAGTTTTTTATTATTCAAAGTTATATGTTAAAAAAATTGTTCTGTAGTTTATTTCTAAAACCAGAAGATTTAAAAAATATATTTTTCGAATAAAATATATTTTTTTTCGCAAAAATCAATTACTTTTTATAAAAAATCGATTTTTCTTAAATCGATTATTATCACAAAGCAAAAAATCGATTTTTTATTAATCGATTTTTTCACTCAATGTCACATCCGTATCAAAAACTCAAAGAGTATATATTATACTAGTATTTTTATTTTTAATTAGACAAAGCCAACTGACAGTAGCTAATGTCACTTTGTACAATAATGTTGCCACTTGCCATATTTAAAGTAATAGTGATGCGTTCAGTTCTCGTTCAATGAGATGAATGAAATATGAGTATGAATAGTTAATCATTTCAAACTATAAAAGAATATTATTTCTATTTTACAATAAAATTGTATAAAAGTGCTCTGATATAAGTTACTAGTAGTATGTAACTACAATCAGTTTTTTGACGACTTATTACAAAGCGCGGCGCGGCGACTAGTGAAAACACCGATCATCGCCGCGCGCGTCGGTAGCCATTTTGTTTGTAATTTGGCTTTTAACCTCTGGTCTGATAGCACGAATGTTTTTTCTGCGCTCACGCTGTTTAGTTATTGTTTTTCTTAAGTTTTTCGTTACGTTGTGTTTGTGGTAATTGTTGTGTTTATTTGTTGCTATATTGTTTCGTACAAACGATATGGATCCTCAACCAAGCACGTCAAGCCAAAACTTGTCACAAAAGAAAGAAGAGACCACGGATTGCTATAACCGTTACCGAAAAACGTATGATACCAAACGTCTACAAACACGTATTTGAGGAGAAAGCTGTTTCACTATTACCTATTAAGGCTCCCGAAAAAAAAAACAATGTGTTTCGAAAACAGCTGACATTTTGGGAATTGGTGTGACCTCAGTTAACAGTGTGTTAAAAGAATGCAAAGAAAATGAACAATTTAAGTCTCCCGAGAAACGTGGACCAAAACACTGTTTCAAAGATAAATTAGACGATTTTACTTTTGCCGCTATAAGGCGAAAAGTACTTTTTTTATGTAAATGAGTCACCCACCATTATAAAGGTAACTTAAACTTCATTCCTTCTACTGCATTATATTCTGTGTCCGCCATAATGTTCTTTGTAAAACCAAAGTATTAGATTGCGTAGACTTCCTTACTCAAAAACTAAATTTTTATTACTTTACAGGTTCTTAAGGTTGTCAATGAAGACCCAAACTTACCCAATTTTTCTTGGAGTACATTAAGAAATGTTATGAAACATGTAAATTTCAAATATGTCACAAAATCAAGACAAAGCATTTTAATTGACAGATAGGACATCATTTTATGGCGCCAGCGATACTTTCGAAATATTAAAGAGTATCGACGGGAAGGAAGATATATTTATTACCAAGATGAAACCTGCATCAACGAAGGTAATTACAATTTTCTGTTTTCTTTACATTAAATTGTACTTTCAATAATTAATTGATATTTCACTATCTTGAAGGTCATGCACCGAAAAAGGCATGGATTTACCAGACAGTGTTATCGTCCCGCCAGGCCTTCCTAGATGGCTTGACCACTGGCTTAAAACAGCCTTCAGGAAAGGGCAAACGATTAATTATCAGCCATATAGGCGGGGAAGAAGGATTCGTAGAAGACAGCTTATTAATATTTGAAGCCAAAAAAATAAAGAAGATTATCATCAAAAGATGAATGCCAATTCCTTTGAGAAGTGGTTTAGGGGGGTCTTGCCTAAACTAAAACCAAATTCCGTAGAAGTGATGGATAATACCCCATACCACTCCAGGAAACTAGAATCGCTGTTTAAAATGTCTTGGACTAAACCTAGAATACAAGAGTGGCTAACGAACAAAAATATTTTATTCGAAGCAACAATGGTTAAAGCTACTCTTATAGACATTGTACGGCAGCACAAACAAGAACATTGCGATAAGTATGTTGTGGACGAGATGGCAGCGCGGAATGGGATAATTGTTTTACGTCTGCCCCCATACCACTGTGAGCTCAATCCCATTGAGTTCGTATGGGCGTAAGCTAAAGGATATGTTGCAAGAAATAACAAAACCTTCAAAATGACAGAAGTAAAAAAACTTTTTGAAGAAGGACTTCAACATATCACACCTGAAAAATGGAGTAGCTGCGTGTCGCATATAATTAAAGAAGAAGACAAAATATATGGTCTCGACCACATGATCGACAATGTTTCAGACAGATTTATAATTAATGTCACCGAAAGCGATAGTGATGATTTTTTATCTGATGATGAATAAAAACAAATTATGTAATAAGCGATCTTTTTTATTTTCATTACCTACCTATAATTGTTATATTTTAAACATCTATAGTTTCAACTACATGATGTATTGAAAATAGGACAGTCTTACAAGCTTCATCGCAATGTTTTCCTTAACGTTTAAAACACTCGGTATTCAATATAGGTAGATACTATAGGAACATAGTCGTCGAAAACTCGTTGGTATGTACAAAGCACGACTAAAATTCGAACCCCGTATCCGATATCGGCAGTTCGGCACACTAACTATTCACTAACTAATCGAGGCAATTTATTCATTCAGGAGTTTTTCAATTATTCACTTTGTCACAACACTATTTTTATTTCATCAAAAACTGACAACACAGTAAACGTCAGTTGACTTCGTCTAATTTATGGAGTGTAGAATACAAGGACAACCATCTTATAAGGGGCGAAAGTTGAAAAAGTGTCCCACTATATACTGAAATTAGAGGTTCCAAAACCTACCACAATAGCGCTGGCGCCTGAAAAACTACGATATGAATATAGCTGTTGTAAACGGAGTGAAGTCAGCTGAATTCAAATATTTAAAAGAATTCATGACTAGAGTAGTTAGTAAAATGCCAGTATACAAAACATCAACTATTTACGTAGTACAAAACCAAGCGGATTGGTCGATCCTTCTTTATTTCTCCATCTTATTCTAATTAATTTTGGCGCTTTTTTAATTTTTCCTATGCTACTGCAGCGCCACCCTTATTGGACGCGTTTTTAGGGACACTTTTCGTATATAGAGATGGTCTTCCTTGTACTCTACACTCCATAGTCTAATTAAAAATACGACTATAGTAACTGTCCTATACAGGAACCACAGAGTACATTATATATAGGAGGACAGGAACTCCGAATCCGAAGAAAACTGGCTGTGGGTTCTACTCTCTGACTTTCTGATTATTCAAAGTACTCTGTGTCTCTGACTCTCCCGTCTCGAACACTCGAATCTATGGAGTGTAGAGTACAAGGAGAACCATCTTATAAGGGGCGAAAGTTGAAAAAGTATCCTACTATTTACTGAAAATAGAGGTTCCAAAACCTATCACAATAGCGCTGGCGTCTGAAAAACTACGATATGAAGATAGCTTTTGTGAACGGAGTGAAGTCAGCTGAATTCAAATATTTAAAAGAATTCATGACTAGAGTAGTTAGTAAAATGCCAGTATACAAAATCTCAACTATTTACGTATTACAAAACCAAGTGGATTGGTCGATCCTTGTTTATTTCTCCATGTTATTCTAATTACTTTTGACGCTTTCTTTTAAATTTATCCTATGCTACTACAGCGTCACCCTTATTGGACACGTTTTAGGGACACTTTTCATATATAGAGATGGTCCTCCTTCCTGTGAATTCAGCTGACTTCACTCCGTTCACAACAGTTATCTTCATATCGTAGTTTTTCAGACGCCAGCGCTATCGTGGTAGATTTTGGAACCTCTATTTTCAGTAAATAGTAGGATACTTTTTCAACTTTCGCCCCTTATAAGATGGTTCTCCTTGTACTCTACACTCCATAATCTAAAACCAACAAAAAGTGTTATTTATTACATAATCCCCAAATTTTCCACTTAACAAATTTTTGTTTATTATGATAGAAAACAATAGGTATATTAGTAATTGGTTACCTTAATTACTACATATGAATACTATGTAACAACATATTAAATTTCTATGTAAATAAACAAAAAATCAATATAGAATTAATAAATCAACATCAAGAATATATTCTTTAATCAATTGCTAATTTAAAGTAATCGTCTTTTTTAAGATGAATTATTTTTTTCGATACTATCAATGTCGGTTTACGATTGATATTAGATTTTGGTACTAATTTGTTTTATTACGCTTGTCGGAATTTCAAATTCATTTACAGAATTTTCCTGCAAACCTCATACCGCAGCGTACTACTAATAAAATTATTAATAAAATTTATTCACTGAATAAAATAAGATACATGTTAACGGTACATATCTACCGAAAATTCTTCTAATAAAAACTTCTAACTTTTCTACTGCCCTTTTCCACTGTTTATGATCTCGTTTTCTTTTCCTGGCCTTATTCAGAGGCACTGTCATAATATTTTTTGCAATTTTTTTTCTTTTTTCTCCTTTTTCTCAATTCGAAACAAGGTAATTCACTATCGAATCGTGACAGATATTCAAATACAACTGTTTGAGGCAGCCATGACAGTGTTTTTGAAATAAAGGCCTCTGACTGGTTCAACCAGACAGAATCGACTTTGCTCATGAAAGCGATTTTCAATTTCATTTTGTAGGGTACTAACCCTTAGTACCCTACAAAATGAAATTGAAAATTGCATTACACTTAAGCATTAACACACACAAGCAGACATGAGTATGTCAGCTTGAAACTAATTTCTGTTACCAATCTATAGAAAAAAAATCTTAGATTAAAACTGCATTTAGAGTTTTAAAAATTCAAAAGTGGACAAAGGCGTCTTTGCTTTTAGACACCTCAGTTATTAGTAAAAAGTACCTAAAGTGTTTTCTTTTAATTAAATAATTTTTAATAAAATACAAATAAAATAATTAACACTTAAATATTTGTGGATAGTTATAATAATTTAATCGTGAAAAAAAAATTATCCAAAATTCAAATAAATGTACCTTTAAGTATTTGAAAAAAGTATATCTGCCTTTCTTTTCTATTCAATTCAATTTTCCCGCTGAGATATCGTTTAAGCGCTTATTACATTATCCAATTTTTAGAAAATCTAATTAGGAACCTAAGTTGGAAGCTAGTGATCACATTACACTAAATTGAATTCTAAATCGTGACGAAGCACATTCGTAAAAGAAGTATCGACGGGGTTGCACGTTTGATCGATGGCGCCGTATTTATCAAAACAGCAGAAAATAGGACTTGCCTTAGCCGTGGTGGGAACAATGGATATTAAAAAAAAGAAAAAAGAGAATATGCTGGGTTAAGGAATACTTGTCATTGTATTTGTAAATATTTAACAACACCTTGAAGCCCTCTTGACACATTGCTTTTTTTAAATAGTTTTCATCATTTTTATTATACAAATAGGGCATTTACCCTATACAGGTCTATAATTTGTAATAACACCTCTTTTTCTGTGGACATGCTGCCACACGACCCACTGCTCAGTTCTGTCGCTTCACTCGCCAACGCAAAAAAATGTCGCACGCGCAGTCAAGACACCCACTTAGGTCGAAGCGCGGGCGCCGACTGGTCGTTCTAAATCATAACGTTGCGATTACACTGTCCTAAATTGTAGACAATTTAGAAAGTAGAGCGGTCGGGACCTCCAACTTTAACTTTAAATCTTTAAATCGGATCCTAACTGTTCTAACTATGATTACAATTTCCAATTTCCTAATTAGATTTCCTAAAAATTGAATAATGTAATAAGCGCTTTATTAAAATTTTCGATTGTCGGTTGTCGGCTACATTCTCACTCATGATAAGGAAAGTTTTCTTTTGTTAAGTTTTTAAAAAAAAAATCGAATTATTCTGAAAGGGGAAATAAATTTCCGTAGATTTGAACTCAAATTCTGTAGTTTCGTAGACGATAAATAAATTCCGTAGATCTACGGAAAAATCCGTAGAGTGGGCAATGCTGAGAAGATGTCAACTTTGAATTTCCATAGATTCTAAAGAATAAGATATATGATATCGGAAATACGATATAATATCTGAGAATACGAATACGATAGATCGTACCATAGGTACATACCACAGAATACCTTTGTATAAACCGAAATACATACATGTCAAATGCCAATGCCATGGTACATACGTAACACTACATCACTACATAACATAAATAAAATTTATTCACAACACAACGAAAATGGCTGCGAGCCGTCGGAAGCAAGACGACAAAAATTTAGAAGTTTTACGGGAACTTATATCTTTAAACGGAAATAAATACTGCTTAGATTGCAATCAAAGAGGACCTACTTATGTAAACACGACTATCGGCTCCTTTGTGTGTTCAAAATGTTCGGGAATGTTGTAAGTATTATTTTTGCGTTACAAACAACTAAGATCAAATAGAAATCTTGTACTGTACATATATTTTCAGGCGTGGTCTTACACCACCTCATCGTGTGAAGTCGATCTCAATGGCCACGTTTACACCGGAAGAGATAGAATTTATAAAAGCTAGAGGAAATGATTACTGTAGACGCGTATGGTTGGGTCTGTACGATGGAGAAAGTGTAAATTTTACGGATGAACAAAGCGTTAAAGATTTTATGTCTGATAAATACGAAAAGAAGCGATTCTACCTCGAATCTTCACTCAGTAATACCCCTGTTACCAATGGAAACACGTCCGTGAAAAACAAAAAAGTTAAATCCATCGGCGGCGCATCCATTACTACACCTTTGATATCAATTTCACCTCAGACCTCAAAGAATGGTAATAATAATAGTGTGAGCACAACTAAAGTAATAAATACACCAGTAAGTGAAACCAGTCAAAAATTAGCAAGGCCTGTTAACAATTTCTCTCATTCCTTGCTAACAAACATAACAGCTCCTGTGTCAACACCACCAATCAGTGCACCAATATCAGAGTAAGTGTAAAGTCAAATGTACAATTGTTGAATATAACATGACCATTTTATTTCATTTATTTTATATTAAATATTCTTGTTTCAGTTTTCCTGTCGACTTTTCTACTGCAAATATTTACAACAGTGCACAATATAATAACAATTTGAATAATAACTGCACATCTTATCCGTCCTCTACATTAACAAATTTTAATGCTTATAATCCTAGCACTACAGCTTCCACAAGTAAGTTTTTAACTAAGATAAAATCAATTAGGTACAGATTTAAAAATTGTGTACATTAAATGTTAATCATTTGCAGATGATCGCTATGCTGCTTTAGCAGACTTAGATTTAGCTTTAAGACAGCAGAACATGAAAAATATGGGTGAGTAATTAAATAAAACTTATTAACAGTGTGTGTATTATTATTTGACATAATATTCTTCATTTTCAGAAGAAAGTAATAATATGAATAGCAAAAATCCATTCCAAAGCTCAACTACCAATGATTTGTTCTCTAATAAAAACCCTTTCTTTAATGGAGGATGGAATTCCACCACAACACCAATACCAGTTAATCCTTTCATAGTAAGTATTTCTTTTTGATAAAACTGCAAATATGTTTTCCATTTTTTGCATAATAATATAGGACATGTTATATAATTAAAAAAAATTATAACTTTGTTTGATATTCAATCAATTTTCATGAAAGAAAAAGTATTTTGTTCCTTAACATCAGAAAGTTTATTATATTATATCTCATGTCATTGCAGATATCAATGGTGGACCAGGTTGCAATGACTTAACCTTGCATGAGTGGGCTTAGCTGGCACCCTGATGATATGGATTGCTCTGAAGGAAGAGTAAAATTTTTATCTGCGGAAAACTTGTTGCAGTCAGGAATTATTAATGGAAGACTGTGATCATCGGTTAGAGTATTGGGAGATGACGCTTGCGTGATATGAAGATTGCCTGACTTCCATATACTCTTTGCCTCTACTGAGGCATGAGGTCCTTTCACAATCTGCTGCCATCCCTGTTACAAGTACCAAGAACTGCCCTTCTTTGTATGGGGATGCCAGCTGGGCCCGCTCACACCAGGTTAGATTACATTGCCAAATCGTCCACCACTGATATCTGCAATGGCATAAATGAGATATCACATAATGAATTCTTCAAATGTAAGTAACAAAATACTTTTTGCTTCATGTACATTGGTTTAAAAAAAGTTATCTAACAATTTTCAATAGGGAGTTTATTTTCATTCACCTGTATGCTATGCGTGCGTGCGTGCGTGCGTGCGTGCGTGCGTGCGTGCGTGCGTGCGTGCGTGCGTGCGTGCGTGCGTGCGTGCGTGCGTGAAACCACTAACCATAAGTAGATTCTAAATTACAATCTCATATTCATGCTTTGCTGCTGTCAAATAATTGTCAATAAATTATTGAATAATAATCTCTACAAATAAATAAAATGTGTGTTTGTTGTTAAAATAACAGCTTTTTACTTAATGCATATGAAAGTATATAATATGGTACTAATAACAAAAAAAAACGATTTTTAAAATTTTTGTCTGTATGTTTGTTCTGGCTAATCTCTGAAACGGTTAGACCGATTTTGACGGGACTTTCACTGGCTGATAGCTGATGTTATAAGAAGTAAATTAGGATATTTTTATTTTAGAAAAAGAATTAGGATTCCGTGCAAAAAATTAAAACTTGTGAAATCGCGAGGGACAGCTAGTTTCCAAATAAAAAAAAATCTTATTTCAGACCTTTTATTTTACATATTGATGTTTAGTGGCTCCGTGTAGTGGTCAAGGTCGCACAGCGAGCTATGGAGAGGGCTATGCTCGGAGTTTCTCTGCGTGATAAACTTAGAATTGAGGATATCCACAGTAGAACCAGAGTGACCGACATAGCCCAATGGATTAGTAAGCTGAAGTGGCAATAGGCCGGCCATATAGCTCGAAGAACCGACAACCGATGGGGAAAAAAGGTTCTCGAGTGGCGGCCTCGTACCGGCGGACGAAGTGTAGGGCGTCCCCCCACTAGATGGAGTGACGACCTGGTAAGATATGCAGGAAGTCGATGGATGCAGGTGGCTCAGGACCGTGCTTTGTGGCATTCCTTAGGGGAGGCCTATGTTAAGCAGTGTACTTGTGAAGGGCTATAATGATGATGATTGATGTTTGGGTAATAGAATAACCATAACAAAAAGGCTTGAAATTATTGATTTTGTTCTGTATTCACAATGCAACTCAATAAGTTTGTATGTAACACAATAAAATATTATGCATCTGTTGTCAAATTGGCTAACAGATCATTACCATCATTTAATTTTAATATTAATTTGTTCTTATTGAATAATAATTAAGTAGGTAGGGTTAAGTAGGTTGAATAATAAGTAAGTAGGGAAGTTTAGTTTACGACGGGCTGTTTTCTGCAACTCCACGTCTATGCGCGTATTTTGCGTGTGGGCAGGAATAATGTGATTATTCGAGCCATGAGATCTCCCCGAAGAAGCTCAACAGTCCTTTGATGTTGCATGCAACTTCGGGTAGTGATCCCGGCATGCCGAGATGTTTAGCCCTGTAGTAGGGAAGTTGTTCAAGTTTATATTTTAATTGTAGAAAATACATCCCGAGACATTCTGTACTGATAACACAGGAAACGTTTCTACCTCGCACATGATAACAGTCATAGTACATTTTGTTTCATGTTTCATTCACAGAAACCTATCATTTATATTTATGACAAATCGTTGTGGTGTTTTCTCTGATTCACATTGTCTATATCTTTCTTTTCTAGCCTTCTACAAACTCAAGTCTTGGAACGTCAAGAAATCCTTTTCTTTGATAAGTCTTTTATCAACAAAGTCATAAGAACAAAGAACAAATAAACTAACGAAAAGCACAAATCAAGCTACAAATAAAATATTATTAATAAAATTTTCTTAAAATATAAAAATTATTTATTAAATTGTATTTACACTTTGCAATAGTATTACTAATTACTATAATGCTTATTATGGTTGTAAATTTAAGTGCCTAAAATCTGTCTTTAACTTCCAATTTAATTGATGTTACTTCTCATATACGAGATACTAAGAAGTGCTTTAGTATTGCATGGCAAATTATTAGAGAAGAGTATTTGATTGGTTTAAAAAAAAGAAAGATGCTGGTCTTAGCTTTATTATTTATAGTATTTAATTAGAACATGTAGTATCAAATGTAGTTTCAAAATTAAACATGAAGTTCTTAAACATGTGCCTTATGTGGATATTGGAATGTTATGTCATTGTTAAAAATAAAACAATAAGTCAGTTATGGTTGGGCTGTATGTGTTTGAATTATGAAATCAAGTCATAGCCAAATATGGGGTAAGTGAAGTGAACTCAAAGGTACAAACTATCAAGATTTATATTGAGAGGCTAGATATACTGTTGTCTATTCATAAAAAAATTGAATAATGTTTTATTGATGACGTAATTTCTAAAACTATTAATATCGATATGTTATACATGAATTGCTACATTTCATATGCTATTATTATTATTACTAATATATACTAATAGCAAAAAATTGGACACAAACATGTTAAAAATGTATATTATGAAATACATTTTATACAGTGTTGTTTATTTTTTTAGTCAATTTTAGAATATTTGGTATTGTAATGACACTATGTTATGAAATAAGCTCTCAGTTTTTTGTCTAATCTGTGATACAATCACAATCAGTAATTTTATTTTATTTGCAATGAGCTAACTTGAACAATTTTTTATTTCTAATAAATGCACTTGACTATTAATTAATTTTAATGTAATTATTTTTTACTACTTGAGCACTGAGATCTGTTAATTTGTTTAAATTTGTAAAAATAAATCAATATAATTTTTTAATTGAGTATTTCATTCAATTCCTTTTAGAAAATCTGTGTGTTTAGACATGGTCTTCTCCCATAGTAAAGGGGATAGCAGTAATCGCCACGCTCAATAGCCGGTTTAACTACAACACCGCGTAACAGACGACTCGCCTTTTTAGCGCTGCTTCTCATTGCATATATAATACCTTTAAAAACGAGAAATTCTAGCATATACTTAGTCGGGTCATAAGTTCTGTGAAAACCTTATTATTTAAAATGTTTGGATACTGGCTAGATGAACTTCACCAATTCAAAAAATATTACGTTTGCGCTTGGCGAAAATAAAAAAGACATTAATTTTCATTCATTTTCATCATTTTCGTGCGCCAAAAGAGATTTTCAATATTCTACAAAAATTTAAAATAACCCTACGATTTGTTTATCGCACTATCAAACGATTCACTGAAGATTCAAGCTTCGAAGATCGTAAGAGGACCGACCGACCTCGTACAGTTAGGACACCCGCGATCATCAAAACAGTGAAGGCGCGAATCCAACGAAACCCTGATCGTAAACAAAAAATCTTAGCTCTTCAGATGGGCCTAAGCAGAACAACGGTCAAAAGAGTGATCAATGAAGACCTAGGACTACGAGCTTATTGCAAGAAGACCGAACATTTTTGAACGAGCGTTTGAAAAAAATTATGCTGAATAGTTCCCGCGCTATGTTACGGCGGTACGCGCGAAAAAATACCGCGAAATTTTGTTTTCGGATGAAAAAAATTTTAACATCGAAGAAATTTATAATAATAAAAATGATAAGGTGTATGCCCACAGCAGTGAAGAAGCCAGCAGAGGGTTCAACGAGCACATTATCATGCGTAAGCATCATATTAGTCTGTGTGTAGTCATATTAGTCCTTCGTCACTCATGGTTTGGCTTGGAGTCTCATATTCAGGCTTAACTGAGGTGTTTTTCTGTGAAAAAGGTATAAAAACCAGTGCCGAGGTGTACCTAAATACCGTCCTAACAAACATAGACGATTACCGACTTCAAAAAGGAGACGGTACTCAATTCGACTGTTTTTTTTTATGTGTGTGTTTAAATTATCAATTCTGGATACGTGATTGCAATGACTCATTGCACCCTAGCCTACTTACGATTTTATCACAAACGACTGACGAAATGACGATAGCCGAGTCAGTGCTTTTTTGATTGTGCATATGCTTATAGTACATTAATAGTGTATATAATATTTACAAGAACAAAGCCAATACCTAAAACTTTCTTCTCTCTTTAAACAGTTCTTGCTAATTAGCAATGAATATACTACTCCTTGACGAAAGGTAATGGGCGTTAGTGGACTTCACTTGTCCTCGATTTCTTTTTTCTTTCTTTTTATATAGGAGAGGGGGCAAACGAGCATGCGGCTCACCTGATGGTAAGTGACTACCGCCGCCCATGAACAACTGCAACACCAGGGAGGGAATTGCAGATGCGTTGCCGGCCTTTTAAAAAGGAGTACGCTCTTTTCTTGAAGGTCCCTAAATCGTATCGGTCCGGAAAAATCGCTGATGGTAATCGATTCCACAAGGAAGTCGTGCGAGGAAGAAAACATCTTCTAAATCGCACAGTGGTGGACCCCCAATCATCCAGATGGTGTAGATGGTATTGGGAGTTCTGCCGCGATGTGCGTTCGGGAAATTTGGCGGCTGGGATTAATCCGAACAATTCCTCAGAGCACTCCCCATGGTAGATGCGAAAGAAAATGCAAAGGGATGCAACATCTCTTCGCAGTGCCAATGAATCGAGCCGATCGGAAAGGGCTCGGTCGTCGACGATTCGAGCCGCTCTGAGCTGGATGCGGTCAAGTGGAAGGAGCTGGCACTGGGGAGCCCCTGCCCAGAGATGGGAACAGTATTCCATGTGAGGCCGAACCTGCGCCTTGTAAAGTGGCAGGCGGTGTGCCGGCATGAAATACTGTCCTGCTCTGCTGAGCACGACAAACTTTTTAGAGGCCAATTTGGCCTTCACTTCCAAGTGACCACGAAACTGCACCTCACTCGATATGTCGACTCCGAGGATTCAGATACTGGCTGAGGCAAGAAGGGGGGGAGTGCCTTGAAACTGAGGAGATACGACAAAGGGGTTCTTTTTAGCGGTAAACTTGTGTCTTCTGAGGATTAAACTGGACAAGATTTAGTCGCCCCCAATCCGAGACTTTGTCTCACTTTTCAGGTGAATGTTTCCCAACGTTCTTTTCTTTCATCGCTGGAAACGGCGAAGATCTGCACTTATACATAATGCAAATTACTACAATGTTCAACAGTTTTCTAGCGTTACAATGAAATTGAGTACGCAACAAGTTGAAGTGTGTATTAGTAATCTATGGCTACCTTAGTCCTCTGGGTTGACAATGCATCTGCATTTTGATTCATAATCAGTGGATGTCGGTGTGCCACATCATTCACTTACCAACAGGTGAACTCTGTGCTAGTTTTTCATTATTAATCTATAAAAAATAATATAATAAGTATGCTACAGGAACACATAACTTAGTTTTTCAGAATTACATTAATATCATATTATCATACTTCTAGCAATTTTATTACGGACATGTCTTTCAAAGTATCCATATTTATAATTTAGGTACTTTTTACATTTATTCATAATTAAAGTAAATTTAGTTTTGACAAAATAATTTTGAATTACATGGTCTTCATTGGATTAACGGCAAATTTAATATTTATTTGCGATATTTAATTCATAACATACCATTGCATTTTGGCACTATAAAATAGATGGTCATATTTTTTTACGTTTGAGTAGACTTCAAAATTTCATAAATACTGTGCTCTATATACGGTAAACGTGAGAAAAACAAAGAACGAGAGAAGAAATATATTGTCACCTTGTAGCGGCTGCGAAAAAGAATCCATTACCCCACCCTTATCGTATCGTTGGTGTTGTAAGAGCCGACCCAAATAGCACACAAGCGTTACGAACATCAATATGCCAGCCCACATAGAACTTGAAGAGTTCTTTTAAAAACGTATAAGTGTCGAAAAAGAGCTTGTATCCTTATAAGAGTGGAAAGATTATAAGAAGCGGCCTCACAGGAAATGGACCTGGTCGAGCCCCGACGGTTCGACAAAAAATGAGATTGACTTCATTATGACGACCAGACGACAACTGTTTAGTGATATCTCCGTGATCGCGAGGGTGAAAACTGGTAGCGATCACCGAATGGTTAGAAGCACACTGAACCTAAACGTTAAGTTGGAGAGGTCTCGTCTAACGAAGTCAACGCTCCGTCCCCCTCGTGCTCTGTTCCACAGTCCCGAAACCTTTCAGCTCGAGTTACAAAACCGTTTTCAGTGCCTAGAAGACTGCAATAAAGTGGACGATATGAATGACAAGCTCGTGGAAACTGTCCATGCATAAGTTCTGCAAGACCCGCCGCAGAAGAACACAAAAACTCTCCGATCACACTCTTAATCTTATGGCTGTTAGACGGGAGATGATGCTACACTCTTCAACAGATTTGACAGCATACAGGCAACTGAACAGACAGATCTCCAAATGCATGCGGCGGGACTTACGCAACTTCAATACAGCTTGTATTGAAGAAGCGATCGAGCGGAACCAAGGTTCCAAAGTCTTTGCCAGAGATCTGTCTGCCAGAAAGAGCCAACTGTCAAAGCTGGAGACCGAGTGTGGCAGCATCGTTTCCGGGACACCTGAGATTTTGAGTGAGATTGAGAGGTTCTATGGGCAGCTGTACACGTCATCGCTGGAGCCACACGCAAGTGTGAGTAACGATCCAAGAGCGAGTCTTATCCGACACTATTCCGAAGATATCCCGGACGTCAATCTGAGCGAGATTAGAATGGCTCTCCAGCACCTTAAAAACGGCAAGTCCCCGGGCGAGGATGGAATTACAGCGGAGCTTTTGAAAGCGGGTGGAAAACCGGTACTTGAAATCCTTCAGAA